CAGCCACACATTACGATAAGCTCATATCCGTATGAGCGCATTCTTTAGGTATCGGATACAGCAGTTTTTGTAGTAATTCATTCTTTTAGCACGACTGCGCAGTCAACTAAACGCAGATTTTCGTTCTTAATAATGAATGCGCAGATGATTGGAATTAGCTGCGTAGCCGTTTCGGATCTGCGTGATTATAAAATCTATATTTTCGTTGACTGAATCTTCAATTATAATCGGTAAAACGTTAAATAGTATATCAATTATAGTATTCATTTGATTTTTTTATATGATTTTTCTTCAATTTTAAATCTCGCATGTTTTGAGAATATATGAGCACAAAACTCCGTTCTCTTAAATCAATTGCGCAGCCGGCAGATTCGGTGCGCAACGGCTGTCAAATCTGATGCTAAATTTCCGTCATTAACCATCAACTTTGTCAAGTTTGTTAATTATGCTAATATTATTATTATTTATAATATATTATTATTATTAATACTATTATTATTTATATTAATTGCATGAATAAACTGCCTGATGAAAATAAAAATCGGAGCAAAAGTAAACAAAACTTCTAGAAGACAATACTGATTGGAACATCAAAATGTAAAAGAAGCGTAAATGCTTCTTTTACATTTTAGTGTTCCAATTTTCGCCTTCTAGAAGTTACGTTCACGCTTCAGTTACTCTTCCATTACATCTGATTTACGCTCCAATTTTTATTTTCATAAGGGCTTAATATATTTTCGACTTTCTTTCATAACAGTTCTTTTAATTTCAGGTCAAAATATCAAACTCTCTTCGGCTGCCAAAATAGATATAGCAGCAGTGAGATTCTCTAATGTTCGTTTCCATCAATGTAAATTAACTTTAATCTCGGTCCAACTTACTCCTTGTCTTTTTCTAGTTCTAAGATTAGAAAAAGACAAAGAATAAATTGAACCGAAATTAAAGTTAATCTACATTGGTGGAAATGGACATAAATATCTTATCGATGATTGACGCTATTGTTAATTAGCGACAATGGCAGAATAATTCTGAAAGAAAGCGCGGCTCTTATTGGCTGTTACTAGTTATTGTGCTACATATGACACAATTATGTGAATCAAATATTCGATTTTATCCTTGAAAAGTGGATGATGTACTCTAAGAAAAGTGAACATTGCTATGTAGTTACATTCACTTTGTTAGAAGGTAGTAGTGCGCGACAGCATTTTGCGATTACAGGTTTTAGGTTGTCATGTCCTCTTTCAGGTTTCTCTCTCTTCTTACATTCAATTTTGAAAATAATACTCAAAGGTTTAAGCCGTTTAAAATTTATACTCATCTATAGAGTGTCATATACAAATATTGAGAGTAAACCGCGCTTGGGTATTACGGTGTATGTACGTACATATCAATAAATACTAAGCGCTTATTGGATTACAGACAAAATTAGGTCCAAGATGGCAGTGAAATAGCGAATAGGAAAGCTATCGGCTAGATAAAAGAAATGCGCTATTTTAGTAATATAGAGTATAGTCAACGCGATGTTGCAAATGAAGCATTTTTTAATTGGTCAGTTTGTAAAATTCTTTCTTCTAATTGATCCATCAAATGCTTCAAAGTATTTGTAGCGAGACTTTGACCATAGCTATAGAGCTTTAATCTGAAGTTGTGTGTCATAGGCCTAGTTTTCACCGAGAGTTTATCCGGATCAGAATTACAGTCGAACGACAGGGAAATGCTCGATTATAGTTGGTTGTTTCTTACATTCTGATCCGGATTAAATTCTCGGTGGAAACTAAGCTGTAATTGAAACATTTGTGTAAGACACAGTGTTACACGCGTTGCAAAACACCCATGGACTTGCTAGTAATTTCAGATTAAAACTCTCGATAGTATAAGTGAGCAATAAAGTGCATTCAGTACTATGATCGCTCACTGAGTTCTTATATCTGTTTGGTCTATATTTGTAGATCTAACGGAACATGCCAATCAGCTGCAAAAGCTCAGTGAGTGGTGTAGTGCTGAATGCACCTAATAAAAAGTACAAGCGTGTAAAATATGTCAATATTATCAACTTTTTAAAAGTTATTTGGCCGTACTTATTTTGCAATAAAATCTTCAAAAATCGCCAATTCTGAAAAAATTATAACTTAAGTCTAAATAAAAATCATAAATCTATTATTGATATGCTAAATATAATTATAAGAATAGAATGAAAAACTGCAATGCATTCTGATATTATGAAACAATTGCGTTCCAACAAGTACTTTACACAGTGGAACACACAGTGTAATGTTTCTGTATCCTAGCTGGAAAACAGCCCATGTTATGTAGTCAAAGACTGCATTCTCATTTTATTTCAGTGCAGTATCCAATAGTTTTGTTCACCATTTTGTTGAATACTGGAGAAACATTCCAAAATGACTGGATATTGGCAAGTGACGTTATACATTGTAGCCTCGCATGCATATTGGCTCATAATCTAAAACTCTTCTGATAAAGGTACGATCACAGTATAACTAATAGAAACACTCAGCGAAAAAATAGTTCGCGCAGATATGGCGCAGCTTTTGTTTTGGATGAAATGCAAGATGACAAGAACGTATTGTACATATTATATAGATTTCATGAGCAGATATTCGTGGCAAAAGAAGATAATTTAAGAGCTGCGCCATAAATATTTCTATAAAATGGATAAAAAAAAGAAAAGTTATGTTACATGTATTATTAAATAATGCAGTAATAATAATAAAAATTCACATTGCACTTTTTTTCTTTATCCCAAACATATTGTAAGGTAAGTTTTTATAATTTATAAAAAGTAAGTATTAGGTGTACAACTTTGCTTCCACCGTTTTTTTTTCCGAAATTCGAGACTTTATTGTAAAAAACTAGTTATACATTTATGATTATTGTCCATCGCTGGCAACTACTTTCTCCCATCTTTCGGGTAGCGTACGAATCCCGCGTCGAAAAAAACTGGTCATCTTTTGAGGCTATCCACGAATCGATTTTTTACTTCTTCATAAGACCGGAAGTGCTGGTCAGCCAGGCCGTGTGCCATTGATCGAAACAAGTGATAGTCAGAGAGAGCAACGTCTGGAGAATACGACGGGTGGGGTAGGATTTCCCATTTCAACGTTTCCAAGTATGTCTTGACCACTTTCGCAACATGGGATCGAGCATCATGCTGCAAAATCACTTTATCATGTCTCTCGTTGTATTGCGGCCATTTGTCTTTCAATGCTCGGCTCAAACGCATCAATTGCGTTCGATACCGATCGCCTGTGATTGTTTCAGTCGGTTTTAACAGTTCATAATACATTACGCCGAGCTGGTCCCATCAAATACATGCCTGCACGACCTTGGACGTCAAAATCACCGTTCTTGAAGCGTTGAAACCACTCACGACACGTTCTTTCACTAATAGTGGCCTCACTATAAGTATTTGAGAGCATTCGATGAGCTTCAGCCGCAGATTTCTTCATATTGAAGCAAAAAATTAAACCTCCCACAAATGACGAGAATTTGACTCGTAAACTGACATTTTCAATCGAGAATAACTTTATGATGCAGACACAAATCGACTAATGTTTCTATGGGGTTATGTTGACAGATGCCCAAGTTTATTGTATGACGTCTATGATCTATTTATTTCGACCACCACTTACCGCTAAAGCCATCTATAGAAAAACGGCGGAAGCAAAGTTGTACACCTAATATTTTATGCTAAGTTAACTTAATTAAATATAATCAAATGAAATGTTTTGTGAAAAAAGATAATATTTTTACAGTGATTACGTTTACACAGCATCCTTAATTATGTTTTTTAGAGCAAAGCAGTGGACTATCGCATGGGGCATTATATCCTCTTTCGATTCTGGATTTTTTAAACATTAACATGGCGAATGCTCACATGACTGCGACGCGAAGATCAAAGATACCGACACGGAATGTTCCTACTGATTATACATACGATGTCACTAATCAGTATCCAAATCATTTGGGAACGTTTCTTCAGTACAGTATCCAGCAAAATGGCAGTTATTGGATACTGCATTGAATTGAAAAAGGAACGCAGTTAAAAATTTTCCCTCTAAAGAAATCGTTGACAAAATGTCAGCTGCTAAAGTTCCACTACCTTTTCATGGAGCAAATCGCTAGCCGCTGGATTATAATTAGTTGATATAAAATCGTTTTTTTTTATACATTTAATTTCTGTTTGATACTGAATTAATTAAGAATGAGTTTCAAAGTGTGTTTAAACTGCTCAAATACTATTTTGTTAGCAACATTGCGAAATAGATTGCTGTCAGTAGCTAAAAAGGTTAGGAAACGATGAATGCTGATATTGTGTGTAATTATACAAAAATTGCAAGAAAATGAGAAGAGATCACAGATCATCGCCGATCATCACCCTGTCTCATACATCTTTGCTCAGGATATCAAGCTTGTATGTGATGCAGAATCCAATAGACTCTGAGCATTCTGTTGTATGTCGATATTTATGGCCCTCCTGCATCAACTCTCGTATTTCGTCCATAAAATTGTCGTCTCTATTTCTTTTTCGACTTGGACCAATACCTAAAAGAATAAAGGCATTTAGTTCCTTTTCATAAAATGAAAAAGTCTGATTAGTTGGTACAGATTCACAATTGATCCATTTTTTATCAAAGGAATATTATAGATGATCCATAATGCAAATAATCATGAATATAAAAAATTTTACGTAGTATTTGTGATACCTTGCTCATGTTGTCTTCCATGCTATCACAATCAGTATCGGTTGAAGTGTTTTGATGTACAGAGATATTTGACATCGTACTGAAACTGCAAGAAATATTTTTCATGTAGGTGC